AAGTTGGAACACCTATTTAAAAATCAAATATCACATACCCAAGTTGTTACTTCAATCCTTCTAGGTGGCTTTACTAAATAATTGTGTGTAGTTCCAGGCAAATGGTCGTATCAGAATGAGGTTGTCTAGTGCTTGGCTTGGTTGATGTAAATTCAAGTTCAGAAGACTGGCCAGGCAAAAGGTTAGATTTGTTTCCTGGAATATAATTTGAAACCATAAGCCAGTGATTGGATGTTCCTCTGTCTTTGGCCTCAGAGAGTTATTACTGCAAACAAAGCTCATCCTTGTCCAAAGTTGTAACTAACAGCTTGAAGGGGAGTGGGCAGTGGGAAGAGGGACAAGCAGAAAGTATCCATTAGCGCGGACACGGCTGACAAGAACCGTGGTCAGCAGAGGGGTTTGTGCAGCCTTTGGAGAATGTCATGGTCGGGGAATTTGCCTGTGGACTCAAAATACAGACGCTGCTGGACTTCCCATGGGGCTACGTCCTGATAACCCATTGTAAGTTTGTAAGTCAGAAATGCATTTAATACCCCAGTAGACCTATCATAAAGTCGAAAAATCATAATAAGGCAAATGTTATAAATCAGGGACCAGCTGTAATAAAGGAGTTGCCAAATCTGATCTCTTATTTTCTATCTCTTCTTAGCAGTAGTCTGATAAACGTATAGTAAATTATTTAAAGGATTTGTACATCTTTTCAAAGGACCTTCTACCTCTTGTGAGTATCGAATTGCTTTAGAGAAATAACTGTTGAGAAGACGAATTTTCCTAATGGTTTGGAGAAGATCTCATCAGAGAACTCTCCAGAACAGAACAGGCCAGGGGGCCGATCTGTGGTGGTTTCCAGGAGGAGGAATTCTTGGGGCCGTCAGGCTCTGGACAAAGAAAAGAGAGGAGGCAGAGGTAGTGGATGACAGTGAGAGACCTCAAAGAAACGGGAGGAAGGAGAGCAGAAGGTCTGTCAAGGAAGCCATGGCCGCCTGACCGTGGGGTGGCCTCCTGGACTTCTATTTATGTATATGCATATATGTAGGTGTGTTTGCGCTCCCTGGGGAAATCTTCAAAAGAGCTGATTACGTGACCTAAACCCAAACCATTTATGCTGCTTTTCTGGAAACAACATTTGGATCAGAAGTTGGGTATCTTATAGGAATGGCCACGAAGGCTTATGTTAGTTACCACCTTCTGAGACCCCCTCAGAGACTCTAGAGAGGGAAATGTTGCCCCTCGGGAGAGAGTAAGACACAGCCGAGCTTCCCGGGGATCGTCTGTCATTCCTTGGCTCCTTCTGCCAACGTTCTGCATCACTTCAAGTAGAAAGGACAGGCGGAGACTTTGGTCCAGGGTCTAATCCTGCTGGGCAAGTCACAAGAGCCTAAGACCCAGTGCTTAACTGTCCAGTGTATTCTTGGTTTCATCAGTTTCTGATGCTTCTCTGTAAAGAACAAAGTCAAGATTCTTTAAGCACCCTTGACCTGCGTTTCTTCACATGGTGTATACACTTGACAGGGCTTAGATCGTGAGCTGTGCTTACTGAAGGATTGGGACTTTCAGGTAGAAAGTGGTACGATTCCATGACTGGTTTTCATTATTCCTCATTTGCCCTATCTAGAAAGATACGAGACCAATTGTGTCACTCGTTTCTGGGCCAGTGGTACCACTGCATGTAACAGTGATACCTACTGTCCCCACAAATCAGATCGTAGATGATGTTAACAACACAGGTGCTGGCGAACGAGAAGGGTTAGTGTAGGTATCTGGGTGAACATGAACTCAGTTTTGACCATGGCTCCTAGGCTCCTGCAGAATGCACTAGCAGGGTTATTTTGTTAGTAAAGAGCCCAGAGGACTGAGTGAGAATTGCCGGTGCTTTGGTGTCACCTGGTCACTTTTAATAGTGGAAACTGTAGACTTGGATTGGAAAACATTCCGCATAATTCCTCCTTCTCTTCTTTCTGTCCTTTTTCTTTTTGAGACATAGTCTCGCTCTGTTGCCCAAGCTGGAGTACAGTGGCATTGTCGTACGTCATAGCTCACTGCAGCCTTGAACTCGTGGGCTCAGGCAATCCTCCTGCCTCAGCCTCTCCAGTAGCTGGGACTGCAGGCGTTCGCCACCACACCCGACTGACTTTTGTAGAGATGGAGTCTCACTGTGTTGCCAGGCTGCTCTCAAACTGCTAGCCTCAAGCAACCCCCTCCCACCTCGGCCTCCCAAAGTGCTAGGATTATAGGAATGAGCCACCGTTCTTGGCCTCTCCTTTTCTTTTTCCGCTGCAAGACTCTGAGAAGTAGCATCACTGTTCCTTATGCACTCATCAAGGAAATGGAACCTTTAGCAACTGGAAGAGCAATCCAGAGGTAGCCAGAAAGCCAGACACAAACTGCTAGGAAGGCCAGCTGATGCCAGGCCAAAGGGGACAATGACTGACACATACTTTGCAATCTGGGTCCTACCATGTCTACTCTCAGCATGACCTTCTAGGGCTACTTTCTTTTCAGTTTGTTGGGTGATACTCTCCAAGTCTCACACCAGGCTCGTATACATTCTGTTAGCATTCTGGT